AGACACCCCCCTGTCGGCTCCTGCCCTGTCGCCATGGGCTTCCCTTCTCCCCCCCCCCCCCCCCCCCCCCCCCCCCCCCCCCCCCCCCCCCCCCCCCCCCCCCCCCCTCCCCCCGCCCGCGCTAACCGCACATCCTGCATTGGGGGCGGGCCTCGATGTACAGCGCTCGCTCCAGGAGATCGCCCTTTCGACGGCCACCAACTCCCTTCGGTCGTCGACCTTCCTCGGGAGCTTCATCGCGGTCATTTGGTGGACCGTGTGCATCCTGCGGAATCTGCTGCAGAATGACATCACCCTCGGGCCGCTGCTCGGGTCTTTCCTCTGTGGCCTGACACTGCTCATTGAGAAGGAGGTGTGTCCCGTGTGGGGGACGAGGGTGTGGTCCTGCGTTCCGATTGCCCTTCTTTTTTTCTTCTTCTTTTTTTGCCTCCCCCGCCCTATCCCCACACCTCACCTTTCCCGCGAATGGCACACGCCGCCGGCCCTTTTGCACACAGTCTCGCCGGATGGAGCTCGCCCTGTATGTGGTCCCGCGCGCCCTGCACGCCCTGCATTACGGCCTTTCCAAGAAGTACTCCATCTTCCGGATGCCCTATGGGTCGCTGCTGCTCTTTGTCGCTGCCTCGGCCGGGCTCACCTTCGCCCATCATCACACTTCGCCGGAGAAGGCCCTCCGGTCGAGCCTGCGGTCGTTCCTCGGGTGGCTCCTGGGCCAGCCGGCCGACGCCACCCCCATCGCTCCGGCGCCCGGGTCCCCGCCGGCCGGGAAGGGGCCCATCCATGCCGAGCACCAGCGGCCTGGACGCCCAGCCGAGGGGGGGCCCCCTGCCGGTCAGCACACCGACACGCCGGACTCCACCAGGGGCCCCGACGACTCCACAGCTCCCGAGGACCCATCGCAACGGCACATCTCCTCCACCTCCGGCAGCCTTCCCGACCTGCTGAACAATCCGGTCGGCGTGGAGGTGGCCTACTCCGGGCCGATTCTCTCCTTGGCGTCAAACAACACGATGTGACGCGTGTGGGAGACATGCGGCCGGTCCTCCGCTCCGCCGGGGCTCGCCGCCGCCACCACCACCACCACCACCCGGTGCGGGGCCAGCGCTTTGGGAGCCGGAAAAAAGCCCAGAAGTATGATGGCGCACCAGTCAGCCGAGTCGCGCGTCGACGCCTCCATGGGCGGCGAGCCACCGAGCGAGAATACATGCTGAAAAGAAAAGAGGCTGCCACAACATCCATCCCTGCCTCCAGAGGTGGGGGGGGCGGATCGCAGAGGCCCGCCGGTCCACAGCTGGGAAGTGTCAGGCCCCCGACAGATGAGGACCGTATTATCCGCGCGTCGGGGCCGGGCCGATGCCCGTGAACCCCGAAACACGCGACCCTGGCCGCGTTCGAGTTAAGGCTTCGCGGGGGACCGGGACTTAAATGGCGCCGCACGTGCCCGCCGGGACGACGGCCAGTGCGCCGGGATGCCCGAGACAGTGTTACATGGCTGAAAGAATAGCACGTCTTCTTGGGGGAGCTCCACACACACGGCCCGGGGGGGGGG